TAGACACAGGGTCTCACTGAGTTGCTTAGTGCCTCGCGAATGCTGATGTTGGCTTTGATCTTGTGATTCTGTCTCAGCCTCCCCAGCAGCTGGGATTACAGGCGTGCACCATTGTGCCTAGCCTCAGCCCCCTTTTAAAAAATTTGGGACATGTTCTCACTAAGTTGCTTTGGGCCTTGCTAAGTTGCTGAGGCTGACCTTGATTTTGTGATTCTCCTGCCTCAGCCTCCCAAGTTGCTGGATTACAGGTGTACACAACCATGTCCAGCCCACAGCTTCCTTTGAAGTAGGGAGATGAATAGATGTGTCTGACACCTGTAGAAGAACCCCTCAGCTATGGAATCCAGGTACTTGCTTACACACACTTGTAATACCAGCTACTTGGTAGGCTGAAGAACGAGGATTCCAAGTTTAAGGCCAGCCTAGGCAATTTAGCAAGACGGTGTCTTAAAATAAAAAATAAAAAGGGTTAAAATATAGCTCAGAGGCAGAGTACCTCTGGGTTTGATTCCCAGTACCATAAAAAAAATAATCTAGCACACCAATGTGCATTTTTGCGCTCATGTGCTCTCTCTCTTTCTGTTGTGCTGAGGATGGAATATGGGGTAGTGCTAGGCAAGCATTGTGCCACTTATTTATAGCCCTTGTCCTAAAATTCTCCCAGCTTTTTAAATGTTTTGTTTGGTTTGAGACCTGGTCTCAGTAATTGGCTCAGGCTGGCCTCTAAGTTCTGGGCTCAGGTGATCCTCTCTTACCAGCTTCCTTAGTCGCTGGGACTATAGGCATGCCACCACCCTAACTGGCTGCTTTTCTATGGTTAAAAACATTTATAAAGTACTATTCATGAATGTTGGAGGGGGTATGCCCACAGGTACTAGGCTGCTTATAATCAGCTGTAATTCTGACTTCATTACACCTTTAGAAAATCTGTGCAGGATGGTCATTCAGACCACTCTCACTCCTGTTCTGTGCCTGAGAGCAACTGGTGTCCCAGAGAAATGCCCAGGAAGCGGGCCTTGCCATGAAGGGAGGAGGCAGCTCCTAACCAGAAATGTTCATGGAAAGGAGTATATTGAAACTGAGTCCTGAAAAAAAAAAAAGAACAGAAATGGTCCAAAACAGACACAGGTGGGTGGGTGGGTGGAGGCAGATGATTCTGGCAGAGGGAGCAACATCCGGCATCACTGAAGCACAGAGGTTGGGAAAGCAACACTGCCACTGGGTTTGGGAGAGTTGGGGCTTCAGAACTAGCCCACTGGACTATGGTTGGGGTTTGTAGGTAGGGTGGGAGTAGGGTTCCCCACAGTTCCCCATGGATCTTTAAGTTACTAAGGTCAAGAGGCTTTCTGTTCCCTTGATTCCTGCCACCTGTGCCTCTTCCCGGCAGTCATGCAGCCCAAATTTCCCCAAGAGGCATAATTAGCAACAGGCTGAGATTTTAGGGTCCAGATGCAGGGTGGGGGTGAAATGGGAATGAGTGGGGAGGAAGCTGGACTTCACCCACATTTGGTAATCCCACCTGCCCATATAACTCCTCCCAAGCTGCAGAAAAGTAAACCCAGGGACCAAGGCAATGTCATTGTCTTTATGGCTAGATACTTCCAACTTTTCACTTGTAACTCATAAGGGGACAGGTGGCACCTCTGCTGCCACTGCCTAGATACCTCTCATGCTGAGCCTCAGTTTCTGCATCTGTAAAAAGGGGTCGAAATGCTTATCCAGTGATAGGATCTGGAGACCTGCTGAGACCACAGGAAGAGGACGTGCAGGCTGGAGTCCTGATAGAAGAGGTGATTATGTGGGATGCTAGAGGCAAACTGCCAATCTAAATATCACCATCCCGCAGTGCCTTTGTCAGCCTGCACCCTGAACTTTCTGGCAGGTGAAATTGGCCTCACAGGCTCTCAGTGCTATGGTCCCTGCCATCTCTATGGCCACAGCATGGAGTACCAGCACCCATGGCTGCCCTGGAAAGATGTGTCTTTTTTTTTTTTTTGTAGGTGGATATGATTATCTTTTTTAAAAATTATTTTTATGTGATGCTGAAGATCATACCCAGTGCCTCACATGTGCTAGGCAAGTACTCTGCCACTAAGCCATAACCCCAGTCTAGATGTGTCTTTTTTTTTTTTTTTTCTTTTGGTGCTGGGGATTGAACCTAGGGCCTTGATGCATGAGAGGGAAGTACTCTACCAACTGAGCTATATCCCCAGCTCCCTGGATGTGTCTTTTTGAAACTACTAATGTCATGGTTAGCCTCTGGTGTGAAGCATCAGAGGTGGGCCCAACATCCTCCTGTTGGACTCAGACCTCCATGGCCATGCTAATATGGCCCCCAGTGCTCCCCTCAAAGCCACCATTAGGGGGTCCATGGAGTGATTGGGCCCTCCCGCTGTAAGACATGTGCATAGATCTCATTCCTTTCTGTATATGTGGAGTGGTAACCGCCCCCCCATCTGAAAACTATGTGCACAACTGGGCTCCTTATAGACAGATACAATGGTGTAATGTGAATGGATTTATTTCCTAGGGCTGCTGTAATAAAACTCCACAAACAACAGACATTCATTGTCTCTCAGCTTTGGAAACTGGAGGTCCAGGACAAGGTGGCAGCTGGGTTGCACTCCCTTTGAAGGCTATTAGGGAGGCTCTGATCCAGGCCTCTCTCCCAGCTTCTGGTACATCCTTGGCTGCTATAGCAGACTCCAGTCTTAACACAGAACACTGTTTTGTGTGTGAGCCTGTGCCCAAGTTCTGTTTTATTATAAGCACTACAGTCACTTTGGATTAGACCCCAGTCTAATGAACCCATCTTTTCTTCTTTTTGTGATGCTAGGATTGAACTCAGAGCCTCATGCATGCTGGGCAAGTATTTTACCACTGAACTACACCCCAGTTCTTTTTATTTTAAACAGAGTCACTAAATTGCTCAGGCTCTCCTTGAACTTAAGATACCCATGCCTCAGTGTCCTGAGTTGCTGGGATTACAAGTGTGAGCCTTCCCTTTTTATCTTGATTATTTCTGGGAAGACCCCCAATACAGTGGCATTCTGAGATTTAAATCTTAGAGATTAAGATTTCAGAGTATAAAATTGTGATGGTGGTGGGTGGGGGAGTGGTCGCTATGCTATAACACAAGTATATCATGGTAGCCATTAGAAAATAGAAATTTTAGGATGGGTGCAGTGACGCATCCCTGTAATCCTAGCGCTTCAGGAGGTTGAGGCAGGAGGATCGCAAGTTCAAAGCCCAGCCTCAGCAAGAGCGAGACACTACGCAACTGAGACCCTGTCTCTAAATAAAATTCAAAAAAATGCTGGGGATATGGCTCAGTGGTTGAGTGCCCCTGAGTTCAAACCTCTCCCCATCAATCAATCAATCAATCAATCAATAAAAAAGAATACAGATTTTAGCTGGGTACAGAGGCATACATATGTAATCCCAGTGGTTTAGGAGGCTGAGTCAGAAGGATGCAAATTTGAGGCCCACCTTGGCAACTTAAGGAGACCCTGTCTCAAAGTAAAAAATAAAAAGAGCTGAGGATGTAGCTCAGAGGTTGAACATTCCTGAGTTCAATCCCTAACACGCAAAACAGCTACACAAAATAAATTTTTAGCCAGACTTTGTGGTATATGCCTATAATCCCTTGCTATCTGGGAGGTTGAGTTAGGAGGATTGCAAATTGTGAGTAATTTAAGGAGACTGTCTCAAAATAAAAAGAGTTTGGGTGTAGGCAAGGGAGAAAGAAAGGAAGACATCATGTGCTTAGTGAGATACAGAATTTCCCTGACCTGATACAGCCTCCACCCTACCTTTGACTTCTAAGGGACTGATTCCAATTTAAGAGATTGCAAGATTAACCCATGTAAAGCCATACTTACCCCACACAAGTCAGCTGGTTGCTGCATTGTGTCACATTCATATGGGTACCATAGTAACTAGTAATTCTTTGCTAATAACCTGAATATCTAGTAATTCTTTGCCATGTAACAGACTTCTTGCCGAAAATAAAACAATCCCCATAGGTTAGTTGTTTAAACAAGAGCCATATTATTCATAATTGAAATTGACCAAATAAAGGCAGATTTTAAAAATTTAGTCTCACAATGAAATAGTTTCTTTCTCTTGTTTATTTCTAGATCTTGCCCAGGAATCTTATAATCTTTATTTCAAAATAAATGTTAATAATATATTCTAGGGCTAGGATGTGGCTCAAGCGGTAGGAGCGCTTGCCTGGCATGCATGCGGCCTGGGTTCGATCCTCAGCACCACATACAAACAAAGATGTTGTGTCCGCCGATAACTAAAAAATAAATATTAAAATTCTTAAAAAAATAATAATATATTCTACTTTTTTTTTACCCTTTATTTTATTTTTATGTGGTGCTGAGGATTGAATCCAACGCCTCGCACGTGCTAGGTGAGCGCTCTACCGCTGAGCCACAACCCCAATCCATATTCTGCTTTTCACTAGATATCATCATAGCCCTATGTATGCCATGTAATATTCAAATGAATCCTTTTAAATCACAGTTGTTTCCTTTTTGATGGTGACTGTAACCACTTCAATGAACCATTAAATGCATAGAGCGTTTTTAACAATTTTTTTCTTTATGGGATAAATTCTCAGGAGTGGAATCGTTGGGTTAAAAGATAGCGAACTTATTTATGGATCCTGAGATACATTTGCAGTCTTTTCCACAGGAGACTGATCAGTTGGCAGGTTTCATTTGCAATGTTGGGAAACAAATCTTGTTTCAAATTGCCGGGGCTAAAGGAGATTAGGTATTAGTCTTTTGTTAACCTTTCATTAGTATTTTATTAACTTTTTATTGATTGGATTGTTGTTTTGGATAATATTTTTATAGACGATGAAACAAGTGTGATCCTGCTTCACCTCTTGGTGATGCTGAGCTCGGGCGCCCCCTGCTGCCCATTATGACGCTGGCTGCAGGGCGGGTCCCCTAGGTCGCTGGAGTCGAGGCAGAGCTGGGGGAGCCATGGCCGAGCCGCAGGAGCAGTTACTGCAGCTCCAGAAAGATAACCGAGATGGCCGCATGCGGAAGCAGGAGCTGGAGGAGTTGGTGCGCGGTCTCGAGGCCGAGAGCGAGAGCCTCACCGGGCGCCTACAGGAACTGCGCGAGCGCGAGCGCAGGTGCCCTGAGAGGGCTGCTTGAGCCGGCGGGCGGGCCCCTCCTGAGAGGCGACGCGTTTCAAGAGTGGCTGATTTGCCCAGTCCGCACCTCCGCTCCAGTCGTCGGGCGGGGTTATTCACCCAGGGAGCCCGAAGGGAGGTTGAAGTCTGGCATGCCAGGGACTGGGCGAGGACTTCTTTGACCTTGACCTTCAGCTGGTCACTTCTCCGTACGGTGGGGGCCGCAGAATCCTGAGCTCCCCAACCCCCCGCCGAAGCACCTGCCTCAGTTTCTCTCTGCAGTCTGCAACGGAGGCGGAGCCAGGCGGCCGGGGCTCTAAGAGGGGAAGCGCACGAGGCGGCGCGAGAGCGTGCGGAGAGGACGCGTGAACTGCTGGAGGCGGCGGAGCGGCACAAATTGGACCTGGTTGGAGGGGTGCCCCAAGGAGCGGAGCCGGAGGGGCGGGGGCCAGAATGAGGCGGGGCTAAAGGAGAAACCTGGACTGCCCCCTCAACCCTTTTCATAGGAGCAACACAATCAACAGTTGCAGGAGCAGTGGGAGGAGCTGTCAAGTCAGGTATGTGCAGGGAATGGGTTGGCCTCCAGTCTTGGTTCTACTCGAATGTCCCGCTCTGGTACCTGCCGCTGTTGCCTCCCAGTCTCTGCCCCCCCCCGTCTCTGCCCCCCCAAAGTACCCCCGCCTCTAGAGGCCCCGTAAATCCCGCCCTCACAAGCCCCGCCCCCAGCTCTTTTACTACGGAGGGGAACAACGGAATCAGCAGCGCGCGGTGCAGCAGCAACTCGGGACGCAATTGCTGGCACTGCAGGTACTTGGACTGAACCCCTAGCGCCCGACAGGGGCGGAGCGGAAACGTGGGCGGGGCCTTAGTGGAGCGAGGGGCGGACCCTGAGGCCCAGAGCGGGTCTTGAGGCACTGCGGGTGCATGGTGTGCCCCGACATCTGACAGTTCTTGAATGCTCCCAAAGAAACAGCTGGAAGTGGTGGAGGCCAAGTACGCCATGCAGGCGGAGGACTTACGGCAGGTGTGAGAGGAGCCCGCAATTTGGTGGGAGGGTCAGCTTTAGGTGTCCATAGAGCCTGGGCCTGTTCGGAAGGGTGGGAGGGGTGTGTCCTTTCGAGTCTAATTAAGACTGTGTGCTAGGGTGCGCAGCGGACCGAGGAGGCCTGGGCCAGCTTCCAGGAGCAGAGTGGAGTCCTTCAGGTGCGGCTCCCTCGGCTCTGAGAGCCAGTCACCTCTGACTCTACTGCGGCCTCCAACCCACCTTTCCCAGACCTGGGGCAGCCAGCACCAGGAGGCTTCCTCCCCCAGCCCTGAATCCTCACTCCCATCCCCTCCAGGAGCTGCAGGGGAAGGTGATGGAGGCGGCGGCTGCGCTGGACACCTCGCGGGGCGGCCCAGAACCGTAAGGGAGTTAGTACGGTTAAATGAGTAGGGGCGGTTGTGGCGCTAAAACAGATTGCCTGTCTCCGTGCCTGTCACCCTCAGGTGGGACTCTCAGCTTCGCCGGGTGCAGGACTGCTCTGGCTCGCTGATGGAGGAGGTGGCCAGGGCCGACTGTGTGAGCGTGGGCCCGGGCTGGTGGGCTGGAGCTGGGACACTCCCGCCACCCCCCTGTCCCTCCGGGAGAGATCTGGCTAGCACAGTGCCCCTAATCCTGCATTGAGGGACACGGCTCCCTTTTCCTTCAGGAGAAGCGGCTGTTGGGCGGCGCAGGGGCTGGAGGCATCAGGTGAGCCCGGTGAGGGAAGTGGGTTCTCCTTTTGAGTTCCCTCTCCAGCCACCACTCATCTGACCATTTGTCGGTCCACAGGCTGTGGGCGCTCGGTGCGCTGCAGATGTTGCTGTTGCTCCCGCTTGGCTTCCTGGCACTGCCGCTGCTCTATGTGTTGCTGGTGAAGCAGGACGCCATCCACCAGGGCCTCCCGCACCTCAGCTCGGATGCTGCCTTTCGCCGCCTGCGCTACACGCTGTCCCCACTATTGGAGTTGCGCGTGCGCGGGCTGCTGCCTGCTTAGAGCCATCACGCTGGCCGTGGCCGCCTGCACCTTAGTCTCTCGTGTGATTTCTGGGGCGCCTGAGGGGAGATACCCGGGGCATGAGGCTCATGTCCCCCCCACCCACTAGCGACCCACCCTGGCACTTCAGCTCAGAAGACAACGGTTCTACCAGGAGGGCCTGCATCCAGGAAGGAGCTCCGGGTCCCAGGCCTTGGGTTGGCCTTCTCCACAGCCTCAGTTACTGCACTCACTAGCCGAGTCCGAAGTTGGTCCGCAATTTATTAGTGAATTTGCCTGGGCCTAAGGGATTAGGAGGAGGCGCTGGTCGGTCAGATTTTTTTTTTTTTTTCCATGGAGGTCTGTGATTCCTTTGGATCCACTGCTAGTAGTTATTTAGGTCCCCGTAGCATCCTTTGGTTCTCTCTGGGTAGGATCCCCATCCTGGTGGCCGTTAAGTGTTCCTTCCTGTGGCAGCTTTGCTTTCTTTGCCCTGGGCATAGCTACTAGTGCGTACTCAGACTGCCGGTTTCCTGTGGAATTTCTTTTTTATTTGTGAGAAATATTATTAGTGGAAATAAGCCATTTCTATTTTGTCAAGTTTTGTTATTTTAGCAGTGAAATTGTTTAATGTAACTCCTGTACACATATACTTTCTTGCAATAACCTTTAAAAATATTTTCTTGCTGGGCGCAGCGGCTCTGAAGACTGAGGTAGGATTGCAAATTCAAAGCCAGCTTCAGCAAAAGCGAGGTGCTAAGCAACTCAGTGAGACCCTATCTCTAAAAAAAATACAAAATAGGGCTGGGGATGTGGCTCAGTGGTCAAGTACCCATGAGTTCAATCCCTAGTACAAAAAAAAAAGTTTTTTAATTAATTTGTAGTTATTCTTAAGGCTTTGTTGTTAAATTTGTTGATGGAACCCTATGTTCCAAATTTAAGAATTGTGCTTTGAGTTCTAAGTAACCATTCTTGTCTGGAAATCATAAAGACATTCTCATATTTTCTTCTTTTGTGGGGGGGCGGACAGGGTGTTGTTCTGTTGCCAGGCTGGCCTTGAACTATTGGGTGCTTGATCTGCCCTCTTCAGTCTCTGGAGTAGCAGTGACTACAGGTCTGGAGCCACCACACCCTGACTTCTTCTAAATTATTATTTTCTTTTAATTGTAGATGAGAACAATATACCTTTGTTTTACTTTTTAATGTGGTGCTGAGGATTGAACCCAGTGCCTCACACTTGCCAGACAAGTGCTTTAACACTGAGCCACAACCCCAGCCCCTCTTCTAAATATTTTAATGATGTGCTCAGACTGGGATGTTTAAAGTGATTATTGATATAGGTGCATTTATGAGATATTATATTTTTTACTGTTCTTATTTTTTAAAATTTATTTAATTAGGTATATATGACAGCAGAATATATTTTGATTCATTGTATACAATCACAGCACAACTTTTCATTTCTCTGATTGTACACCATATAGGGTGGCACCATATGTGTAGTCATACATGTACCTAGGGTAATGATGTCCATCTCATTCCACCATCTTTCTTGCCCTCATGCCCCCCCCTTCACTCCTCCCTCCCTTTTGCCAAAGTTCCTCCATTTTTCCCATTCCCCCCCTCCTTGTAGGTCAGCATCTACTTATTAGAGAGAACATCCACCCTTTGGTTTTTTGTGATTGGCTTAATTCACTTAGCATGATATTCTCCAACTCCATCCATTTATCTGAAAATGCCATAATTTTATTCTTTTTTAATGCTGAGTAACACCACAGTTTCTTTATCCATTCATCTATTGAAGGGCATCTAGGTTGCTTCCACAGTTTAGTTATTGTGAATTGAGTTGTGATAAACATTGATGTGGCTGCATACTGATTTAAATCCTTTGGGTGAGGAGTGAGATAGTGGGTCAAATGGTGGTTCCATTTCAAGTTTTCTAAGGAATCTCTATACTGCTTTCCAGATTGGTTGCACCAATTTGCAGTCCCACCAGCAATGTATGAGTGTGCCTTTTCCCCTACATCCTCGCATACATTTGTTATTTGTATTCTTGATAACTGCCATTCTGATTGGCGTGAGATAAATCTTAGAGTAGTTTTGATTCGCATCTTTCTAATTGCTAGAGATGTTGAACATTTATATAATTTATATAATTTGTTGATTGAATGTATATGTTCTTCTGAGAAGTGTCTGTTCAGCTCCTTAGCCCATTTATTGATTGGGTTGTTTGTTTACTGTTTTTATTTTTGTATTCTGTATTCCACTTTTTTGCCTTTTGTGCTTTTATTTATTTTTTAATTTTTTTCTCATATTTTTTGTATCTTTTTTGTGTTTTTATTTTTAAAAATATTTTTAATAATTATTTTTTAGTTTTAGGTGGACACAATATCTTCATTTTATATTTATGTGGTGGTGGGGATGGAACCCAGTGCCTCATGCTTGCTAGGCAGGCACTCTACCACTGAGCCACAACCCCAGCCCCATCTTTTGTGCTTTTAATCACACATTTTATTATTCTGTTCTTCTCCTTACCTAGCATATCAATTATACTTTTAATTAATTAATTTTTGGTATAGGGATTGAACCCTGGGGTACTTTATCACTGAGCTTCATCTCCAGCCTTAAATTTTTTTTTTTTTTGAGAGAGAGAGAGAGAGAGAGAGAGAGAATTTTTAATATTTATTTTTTTTAATTTTCGGTGGACACAACATCTTTGTCTGTATGTGGTGCTGAGGATCGAACCCGGGTCACACGCATGCCAGGCGAGCGCGCTACCGCTTGAGCCACATCCCCAGCCCCCAGCCTTAAATTCTTTAAGACTGTTTTTAGTTGTAGATGGACACGATACCTTTATTTTGTTTATTTAGTTTTTTTTATGTGGTTCTGGGGATCAAACTCAGTGCCTCGTGCATGCAAGGGAAGCACTCTACCACTGAGCCACAACTCCAGCCCTTATTTTAAATTTTAAGCCAGAGTCTTAATGGATAGTGCAGGCTAGGGTGTAGCTCAGTGGTAGGGCGCTTGCCTAGCAGCTCCAAGACTCTGAGTTCAATCCTCAGAACCACAAAAGACAAAAACTAAAACAATTTAAAAAATCAAAGGTTTGTGCAGATACCCTATGATCGAATAATCTTAATTCCTATACTCATCCCTTGTATCATTGTTGTCATGTCTTCTACTTTTATGTAAATCATAATTGAACACATTGTTGTACTACTATTATTTTGATCAGGTTCTTATCTATTAGATCGATTAATATGTAAAATAAGCTTCTTTTACTTTCACTTATTCTTTTTTTTATTTTTATTTTTTAGTTGTAGTTGGACACAATGCCTTTATTTATTTTTTATGTGGTTCTGAGGACCAAACCCAGCACCTCGAAGTGCTAGGTGAGAGCTGTACTGCTGAACCACAACCACAGCCCCCTTCACTTATTCTTTAATGCTCTTTCTTCTTCCCTCCCCACATCCCAGGGATGCTTTATCACTGAGCTACATTCCCATCCCGTTTTAATTTTTGAGACAGGGTCTTGCTAAAATGTTCAGACTGTTCTTCAACTTTTGATCCTGCTTCGTCTTCCTAAGTCACTGGGATTATAGGCATGCACCATTGTCCCAGCTTCTTCACTTTTGAAGGATAATTTTTCAGGATACATAATTCTAGATTGGTAGGTTTTTCTCCCAACATTTTTTTTTAAGTATCAAAGATTTCTTTTTTTTTTTTAAATTTTTTTTTAGTTGTTGATAGGCCCTTATTTTATTTATATGTGGTGCTGAGAATCGAACCCAGTGCATCACACATGCCAGGCAAGTGTGCTACTGCTGAGCCATAGCCCCAGCCCCTCTCCCAACATTTTAAACAAGTCACCTCATTCTCTTTTTACTTTATTTCTTTCTTTTTTTAGTTGGACACAATATATTTTGTTTTTATGTGGTGCTGAGAATTGAACCCAGTGCCTCACGCATGCTAGGCGAGTGTGCCACCACTTGAGCCACATCCCCAGCCCCCCTCTTTTTACTTTCTTGATTTATGAAGAGAAGCTGGATAATTTTTTTTAAGAGAGAGAGAAAGGGAGGGAGGGAGGGAGGGGGAGGGAGAATTTTGATATTTATTTATTTTTTAGTTTTCGGTGGACACAACATCTTTTGTTTGTATGTGGTGCTGAGGATCGAACCCAGGCCGCACGCATGCCAGGCGAGCATGCTACCGCTTGAGCCACATCCCCAGCCCAAGAAGCTGGATATAATTCTTATCTTTGCTCCTCTTTAGGTTTTTTTTTTTTTTAACTCCTATGGCTTGAGATTTGTCTGTCTTTGATTTCCTTGTGTGAATATATTGCCTAGTTATATTATTTTTGGCATTTATCCAGCATAGTGTTCTCTGAGCATCTTGGATCTGTGGTTTGGTGTTGACAGTAATTTGGGGGGAATCCTACTATTCAAATATTGCTCCTATTCCTTTAATTTAAAAAAATTTTTTTAGTTGTCAATGGACCTTTATTTATATGTGGTACTTAGACTCAAACCCAGTACCTCTCACATGCTGGGCAAATGCTCTACCACTGAGCTAGGACCCTGGCCTTGTTCCTTTCATTCTTAATTCTTCTGGTTGGTATTCCCATTATGAGTATGTGGCATTTATAATTGTCCCATAGTTCTTTTTTTAATATTTATTTTTTAGTTGTAGTTGGACATAATACCTTTATTTTATTAATTTTTATGTGGTGTTGAGGATCGAACCCAGGACCTTACATGTGCTAGGCGAGTGCTCTACCACTGAGCTACAGCCCCAGCCCTGTCCCATAGTTCTTAAGTATTATGTGTATTTTTGTTGTTGTCGTTGTTTGTTTTTTGTTCCTGGGGATGGAACCTAGGTTTTCCTCATGCTAGATAAGTACTCTTAACATTGAGCTATACCACCAGTCTTTTGATATCCTCAAGCTCAAGATTCTCTCCTCATCCATGTCCAGTCTACAAATAAGCCCATTGAAGGCATTCTTTATTTCTGTTGTTTCTTAG